TATATATATATATATATATATATATATATATATATATATATGTTCGGGAAGCATTGGCATCGGGTTTTGCTTGTTAGAACTAATCGGTAGCGCATACTAACTGCCGCGTTCGGGATTGGAACACCAAACTCCGTTCATGGAAGTCATGTAATTCCAATAACCTGCCATCGGGACGGATTGAAATGAACAGTCCAAGGTTATTTGAACTTCGATTCGATTACCACTTTATTTCACACAATCAGTCAAAAGCAACTGAGTTAACTGTGGATTACAACCTGATCTGGTAGGTTTAATTATTGCAAGTCAGGTCAAGCCTTCATGGAAGACGAGTTGGTGGGAGGATTTCGAACAGAGTTAAACGATAGCTATCTGTCTCCCGTTGCTGTCATCGAGCCAAATTGAACCAACTGATTATCATTCAGGACGAAGTTTGAGCAAGCTTGAATTCGTATTCCCGGTCAGTCCCGATGTGAGAGATGGTTTGCACAGTGGTTTCGCATATGCACACACCTCCCATGAGTCCGGAATTAAAATCCCTTGTAGAATGATGGAAATGTATCACCGATGAGATCTAACAAAAGCGAAACTTAAATCTAGGGTTGTGTGTGCAGCTAAAACTTAAGGGAGGGTTTGTCCAATTTATTACACGGGAAATGGGTAGATGGACGTGTGATATCCTTTACAGCATAACCACTTCACTGATTAAGCTGATCGGCAGGTGAACAATCAAGAAGCCTAATACCACCTATATCAGTGAGTTTCATGGCCATGGAATTCGATTCATTTATCCCGGGTTTGTTTTGGTTGAGCCTGAATTGTTTCTGAACAACCTCCTATTCGAGAAGAAATGTACCCAAGTCAATCCCTGTAGTGGAGCCACTTGAGCCGAATCCGTTGAAATTGAACACCGCGAATAACATCAGCACGTGGATAGGTGAACAACTGGAAAAAATTGCATTTGTTTAACTGAACAGTAAAATGTTGTACTTCGTAAAGTCACCAAGAGATTAAACAATTGGGCAACACCTTTGAACACATATCAAGAACACAATGTAAGTGAACAAATGCTTTCCGCGAATTCATGCGAAGCAATTTCCGCAGGGTGAAACAGAAATGCGTGAGTCATATGCATGATAATGAGCCCGAGGAAATCCCGAATCGGTACGCTGTTCGGATTACATAACCAAAAATGCGCTGTTATGTCATGGTCATGTCAACAAGCGATTCTCTCAGCTCCTTTGACCAGGGGATCAATTTTAGTTGTGCGCACAATTCAGAATTCACACTCGGATGCCCATCGATGCTGCGATCGCTAACGTCCGAAACCATATTGCTTTCGACGGGTGTGGTGAAACTCGATAAATGAGTGTGAATGTCGAGTGCAGTCAACCAAATGAGCGATGATCAAGCTTGACACAGCTCCACCCCCACCAAGTAGAGATAACAGCCCTACCGTTCGACCTACACAAGTCACACCACAAGTGCACTTGAGTCGGTTGACCAATCATATCTGAGGTCAACATAGGCAGCGAGTGCTTGTTGTGGCAGTGGGTTTGGTGACGTAAGAGAACCCATATCGTAGCTGAGGTGCATTAAACGCGGATCCCCCGCGGCGAATGAAACCCTACTGACCCTGTCATCGGGCACGTCTCCTTGGAATGGAGTTTTATGAAAAGAAATTTTTTCTCCGCTTATTGGCGTATTCTGCTCAAGAAATCAATTTGCAAATAAGCTCGTTTTCGGTGTATCACTGACTAGGCAAATACAGCACACTTTTCTAGGCCGCAACACACATAAACAGAGAAAACAGAAAAGGTAGATAACGTTTGCGTTTCTACACCTCTGTATGGACAATATAGTAAGGGGAGTTCGACTCATTCTGCAAATGTACTGTCCAATTCAATTACGGTCGATTAACTTCTTAGGATAACCCCTTTTCAGTAAGGTTCTCCTCACTAGCTCGAGTTCGTCCTTTAAAGTATTTTCTGAACAGACGCGCCTTACTCCGAAGGAGTCAGCATACGTTGCGTTTTGATAGAGTGCGAAGAAGCTATAAAAATTGGTGTGCTGCCCACTACACGTCATTTTTTTGTATATTATCCTTTGGCATAGAGCCATCTGGGCATCTAGTCAGATTCACATTCGAAGCAGGGAGGCGATCACTCACCTCTAGTTCATTGGTGAACTTAATTGACGAATGTGTTGCGGTGAATTCTTACAGAACATGGTTGAGATTAGTGCTCTTGTCAGCCACACGAAATACATCATCTACTTAACGGTGATATTGTCCAAAACAGTTAAAAGTAATGGATTTAAAAGTTATCTTCAAGTTGGTTATGAAGATCTCAGGAAGAACAGATACAAGAGATGGAGTCATAGCAACACCATCGAGCTGGCAGTTAAATGTGTGAATTAAAAAATCAGTACATCTTGTGTGCCCTTGAGTGTGAGTACTTTGAGAGTTGTAAAACGAATGGTCGGCATGCGCTCGGCATTTGCAATCACTTATCGAGTATCACCACACCCGTCGAGAGCAATATGGTTTAGGACATTAGCGATCGCATCCGACTCGTAAAGTCTGAATTGTGCGCATAATGAAAACTGATTCAAGCTCTCAAACTCCCCTGGGCCAATGGAAGAGAACGTGGTTTCTTCACAGCGGATTTTGGTTAGGTGATCCTGGGCTCATTACTGCACATATGACTCACACACTTTTCTGTTTGACCCTACAGAAATCGTTTCGTATAAATGTGATTGTAAAGGCTTGAAAAGGAACTCACCGAAAAGATATGTTCACCTACATTGTGTATTATTAATCAGTGAGCATATTCCGTACCAAGTACTACAGAAATGTTAAATCCAATTGATACAGACGGTTCACAACAGTTTTTGGGGAACAAATCAATCGATTACACAGAACGGATGTTTTTGTTATGAAAGCAATAAATACTATAGGTCAAAATTTCCGACAACGCACGTAATAATGGAACATTACAAAACATGCTAATTGTTCAGGGGGGAGTAGTTACGTTCCCCTTCTTTATAAAATAAACATTATCGTACAATGGGATTGTACTGAAGATAACCCAATGATCTTCTACAATGCGTCTCCCCCCCCCCCATTGATTTCGATCGATCTATGGAAAAACTGTGGCCATAATTGAGTGAGATAAAAACAACAGGGAAAAGTTGCACATAAG